TTTAAGCACTATTCATAATGGCCAAGATGTGGAATCAACCCGTGTCTTTTAGCAGGTGAATGGATAAAGAAAATGTGATCTCTACAGTGGAATATTACTCAACCAGAAAAAGAATGAAATCCTGTTATTTTCAGTAACATGAATGGAACTGGAGTTCATTATGTTAAGTGAAATAAGCCAGTCATAGACAAATACTACATGTTCTCAATCATAGGTGGGAGCTCAAAAGGTTGATCTCATAGAGGTAGTAAGTGGAATAACATACCAGAGGCTAGGAAAGATGGAGGGAGGGAGGTTGGATGAAGATGGATGGATGAAGAGAGGTTGATTAAGGGGCACAAAACTACAATTACTAATATAAGAAATAAGTTCTAGTATTTGATAGTACAGTAGGAAAATTATAGTTAGTAATTTATTGTGTATTTCAAAGTAGCTAGTCTTTAAGAGAAGAATTGTAATATTCCCAACACAAAGATATAGCCTGGGCAACATGGCAAAACCACATCTCTACAAAAAAATACAAAAATTAGCCGGGCATGGTTGTACACATCTGTGGTCCCAGCTGCTGGGGAGGCTGAGGTGGGAGGATTGCTTGAGCCCAGGAGGCGGGGGTTGCAGTGAGCCAAGATCACGCCACTGTACTCCAGCCCAAGCAGCAGGAGCCCTGCCTCCTCTTCCCCACCCAAAGAAAAACAAAAGATAAATATTTGAGATGATGGCTATCCCAGTTACTCTGATTTGTTCATTTTACATTGTATACATGCGTAAGATATCACACGTACCCTCCAAAATATGTACAACTGTTATATATCAGTTTTAAAAAGAAGAACAGACACTGAGATAGAGACATACTCCTGAAAATGGGCACACCTCCTCTTAGGCTGTTGATAAGCAGGAGGTGTTCAGTCTAGTAGGAGTCGATTTGGGTTAAGGTTTTGTTTAGTGTTTGGGTCTGTGCCTCACAAGTTTCAAATTCCTTCAGTGATGGGCTGCTGTTCATTTGCTTCGAGTTGGGGTTTGGGTGCAGAAGGAAGTGTTTTTCTCTGAGTTCCTACTTCCCCCATAGCTTTCAGCTCTTACTGCATTGTTGCACCTCTGTGGGAGTCACTGTCCATGTTCTTGTTCCTCCTGCAGAAGTCATCTGCTGTTGCGTGTTATTCACATTAGAGGACAGGTGGAAAGTGAGGGGGGCGTGCCTGTTGTCCTTAGGTAGGTTCTGTGTTGCTAGACCTGAAGGGTGCAGCTTCCTCAGGGCTCTTGCACCTCCTCCCACAGAGGTAGCTGACCTCCCTGTGGTCCTCCTGTAGGATCCTGTGCCCACAAGGAGAGAGGAAGGTGTCATCTTCTCCTATTCCTCAGCATCAGAGGATCTTAACCTGGTCAGGGCACAGGGAACGTTTCCTCTACATCCCCAAGAGGCTCTGAAGTAATGGATCTTTGCCTGTGCTCTGGGGCGGGGGGAAGAGGGTGTGCAAGAAAGAAAACAATAGTCATGTTATACAGCGAGGGCCGCGTGTAGATAGAGTTTATGTAGCCATAATAATACAAGCACTGAATGTTGAGCTAAACAAATAATATAACTGTAAGGAGGATGTGAGGATGGAAGTACTTTCTGTTTTGGGAAGCCGCAGGGTGTTAAATGATCAGTTAAATTTTCATATTCCCCAGTGTAAGTCAATAGTTAAAGCCTAATACTGAAAAACTTAAAATGTCAGTGTAAAGATGCTATTTAGAAATAATGAGGGACAGTTGTGGTGGCTCACGCCTGTAATCCCAGCAGTTTGGGAGGGTGAGGTGGGTGGATCACTTGAGGCCAGAAGTTCAAGACCAGCGTGACCAACCTAGTGAAACCTCAACTCTACTAAAAATACAAAACTTAGCCTGGTGTGGTGGTGTTTGTCTGTAGTCCCAGCTACTTGGGGTTCCCAAGAATTGATCAAACCAGGAAGGCGGGGGTTGCAGTGAGCTGAGATCGCACCATTGCACTTTAGCCTGGGTGACAGAGTGAGACCTTGTCTCAAAAAAAAAAAAAAAAAAAGAAAAAAAAAAGAAAAGAAAAAAGAATGAGGTAAATGTTAAATAAGCTTCAAAAAGTCACAATTCTTTATTCTAAGAAGTGGAAACTGGATAGGAGGAGGAGAGGAGACAAGGGATGGCTTTTTCATTACCAAGCCATGGAGAACTGTATGACATTCAAAGGTAGGCAAATAAAGATGCTTGATAAAATTAAATATTAAGTTCTATAAATATAAAATTTGATGAAGTTTAAAACTGAGTTCTAAAAGTTTATAACACAAGGGTAGGGATAAAGGTGTAGGGAAAGTAGACATTCTTATATGTTGGTGGAGGGATTCCAACTGGTGCAGCCATTCAGGAGGTCAGTAGGGCACTCCATCAAAGTTCCAAATTCAGTAATTCCTACTACAGATATGGTAGAAAATTGTATTTCACACTTGCATGCAATAAGACTAGAAACCATCTAAATATTACCAGTAGGTGGCCAGGTGCGGTAGTGCATGCCTGTAATCCCAGCACTTTGGGAGGCTGAATCAGGTGGATCATTTGAGGTTAGGAGTTCAAGACCAGCCTGGCCAACATGGTGAAACCCCATCTCTAATAAAAAAAAAAAAAATACAAAAATTAGCCAGATGTGGTGGCAGGTGCCTGTAATCCCAGCTACTTGGGAGGCTGAGGCAGGGAGGATTGCTTAAACCCGGGAGGCAAAGGTTGCAGTGAGCCGAGATTGTACCATTGCACTCCAGCCTGGGGGACTGAGTAAGACTCCGTCTCAAAATAAAGAAATAAAAATAAAAATAAATATTACCAGTAGGTGAATGGTTAGCAGCCATACAGTGGAATACTATATAGCCATTAAAGAAAAAGGTGACACTTGTGTACTTCTGTGGAATGATACCCCAGGTAAGAAGCAAGATGCAGAATGGCATCGGTGTCTCTCCAGAAGATAACCAGAGAAACCAGAAATAGTTTTGTTTCTGAAGAAATAGGGAATATTTCCTTAGAGAATTACTTGAGCTCAGGAGTTCAAGACCATCCTGGGCAACATAGCAAAACCCCATCTCTACTAAAAATACAAAAAAAAAAAAAAAAAAAAAAAAATTAGCTGGGCATGGTGGCACGTGCTTGTAGTCCCAGCTACTCAGGAGGCTGAGGTGGGAGGATCACTTGAGCCTGGGAGGCAGAGATTGCAGTGAGCTGAGATGATACCACTGCATTCCAGCCTGGACAACAGCTAGATCCTATCTCAAAAAATATGTATTTGTTAAAAGTATGAATAGGCAATTCCTTAGAAGTGAACTTGACAGCTTAGGGATAGAACTGGGAGGAAGATTTTTTTTTCCCATATACCCTTTTGTGCCTTTTGAATTTTAAACCATTTGAGTCAATTACCCATATAAAGTTTTAAAAATAAAATTATAAAAATCATTAAGTACATTGGGCTATTTATATGGAAAATACTTTAATTTGTTTCTTAGTTTCCATTTTATATTATAAATTCTGAGTGGACCATACGACTAAATGAGAGAATCAATATGTTAAAACCAGGCCAGGCACAGTGGGTCACACCTGTAATCTCAGCACTTTGGGAGGCCAAAGCAGGAAGACTCCTTTGAGCCCACGCTGGTCTCATCTCAAACTCCTATGCTCAAATCAACTCCCTATCCCAGGAGTTTGAGACCAGCCTGGACAATGTGGTGAAACCTCATCTGTACGAAAAATACAAAAATTAGCCAGGCATAGTGGAACACACCGGTAGTACCAGCCACTTGGGAGGATGACGTGGGAGGATCACTTGAGCCCAGAAAGTTGAAGCTGCAGTGAGCTGAGATCGTGCCACTACACTCCAGCCTGGGCAACAGAGTGTGAGACCCTGTCTCAAAAAAAAAAAGAAAAGAAAAATTTAAACCTTGAGAATGTATTTCTTGACGTTAGGGTTGAGAGGTTGTCTTAAGAGACAAAAGCATATGTCAAAAAGAGTAAAGATTAACTAATTTGTCTACACTGAAATTTAAAAACCAACATAAAAATGCCATAAAGAGAATGCTGTGATAATCACGGACTGAGAAGATGCTTGAAACACAATTGTCAACATTTGGTGTACAGATTATATAATGAACGCCTACAAATCAATAAGGAGAAGAGTTCAGGGAACACTTCAATTGAATAATGTGCAATAAACACAAATAGGTTGGTCAGGCACAGTGTCTCACACCTGTAATCCCAGCACTTTGGGAGGCCAACATGGTAGATCGCTTGAGCTCAGGAGTTCAAGACCATCCTGGGCAACATAGCAAAACCCCATCTCTACTAAAAATACAAAAAAAAAAAAAATTAGCTGGGCATGGTTGCACGTGTTTGTAGTCCCAGCTACTCAGGAGGCTGAGTTGGGAGGATCACTTGAGCCTGGGAGGCAGAGGTTGCAGTGAGCTGAGATCATACCACTGCATTCCAGCCTAGACAACAGAGCTAGATCCTATCTCAAAAAATATGTATTTGTTAAAAATGTGAATAGGCAGTTCACAGGAAAAAAAAAAAAAACTGAACCGTGGAAAAAAATTCAATTTCGCTAGTAACCAGAGGAAAGCATATTAAAAGAAGGCATTGTTTCATATCTATCAAGTTGGCAAAAGTCTGAAAATATGACTTCAAGGTTTGGGTTGGAATGTAAGGAAATGTATATTGTGATTATTTGAAGTCGTATTTTTTTTTATAGCTAGGATGACACTTCACATCTGATTTTGATAGTTTCTTTTTACATGCTGATATACCATAGACATCTTTCCATTTTAACATGATACATAGAACTCTGAACTCCATTTCTAGATGTATTTAACAGGATATATTATCCAATGATAAGACTAATTTGGATAGGATTTTGTCTGAGGGAAGGATAACGGTATAGAGAATCTCAAGGTTTTCTTAACCTTAGGGTTTTATAGTTTTTCATTTTTAATGTAGATTGTTTTCTGCTTTTTTAAAAGACATTATTGTAAGAGCATCTCAAGCAGACGTCGTTACAATCGTGATTTGGAACAGGATGAAGCATTTATTCCAGTTGGAGAATCACTAAAAGACCTTATTGACCAGTCACAAAGTTCTGGTAGTGGGTCTGGACTACCTTTATTGGTAAGTTAAAAGTTCCTATAAACATGAAGGGTGTGTTGATTTAGAATGTGTCCTCATGATGGTGGACAGTATAATTATTGCAGATCAGGGAACGATAATGGACACATTTTTTTCTCCTTATTTAGAAAGAGGTGTGCGTTATTGCAAGGTGAAATTAGTTAAAAATAAGAAATATGAACCAAGAAAAATAGAATAGGCAAGTAAGATAGAGCTGTAAACAAGGTTAGGAACCGAGTCCTACAGAGAAGGGCGAAGGAAGTTAGATCACGGAGTCCTATATGAAAGGCAAGAGATAGCTCACAAGTTTTGCTCTAAGCATTTTACCAGCCGACTTAAAGAGGAATCAGGTATAAGATTCGTTGCATCTGTAAGGTTAAAATGGATTGATTGAGGGAACTGTAACTATTTCAGATTCTGAAATAAAAAAGAAGTTTCAACAGATATTCTTAGAGAGGATGCTTCTCTCAATATACTACCACCAAAACATAGTTCAATAAAAAATAATTTTAAAGGGGATTACAAATTCCAACAAATTTGGACTGATTCTTGGTATAAGAGAAAAAAAGATAATCCCGGCAGGTTCATTTATATATAGAAATAGTCAGATTTATGGGTCGAAGGAACTCTTATTTGAGAGGACCTGTGTTATGAACACTAGATATCCAGATAGGTTTTAGTTTTTAATTGTATTCGTTGAAAGAAACTGATCTCTTCTTATTTTATTTTATTTATTTTATTTTACTTTATTTTATTTTAATTGTATTGAGACAGTCTTGCTCTGTCACCCAGGCTGGAATGCAGTGGCCTAGTTTCGGCTCACTGCAACCCTTGCTTCCCAAGTTCAAGCAATTCCCGTCTCAACCTCTGAAGTAGCTGGAATTACCAGATGCACCACCATGCCTGGCTATTTTTTTGTTTTTTGTTTTTTTGGAGGGGTGGGGTTTTGCCATGTTGACCAGGCTGGTCTCGAACTCCTGGCCTCAAGTGATCCTCCCACATTGGCTCCTAAAGTGCTGGGATTACAGGTGTGAACCACCGCACCCACTCTGATCTCTAATTTTAAAATTCATCTTATTAAATAACTCTAATTGAATTGGAAAGGTAAAAGTAAAACTGCCTTCATATGCAGACAACATGATTGTTTATGTAGAAAATCCCAAGAATGATACAACTACTGCAGCCAGTATATGACTTTATCAGGTTGCAGAATACAGAGTCATTGTACAAATATCATTGAATTTATATGCAGTAGCAACGAACAATTAGGAAATTATAAAAACAGTATTTAAAATAGCATCAAAAACCATGAAATATTTAGAATAAGCCTAACAATTTATGCAAGACCTGCACACTGAAAATTATGAAACATTGCTGAAAGAAATTAATAAAGCCCTAAATAAGTGGAGATGTTTATAAATCTGAGGACTCAGTATTAAGATTTCAGTTTTCCTCAAATTGGTGTGTAATTTCATTTGAATCCAAATGAAAATCAGAGCAAATTTTTATAGAAATTGATGTATATTCTAACATTTATATGGAAATGCAAAGGACTAGAAGAGCCAAAACAATTTTGAAGTAGAAGAACAAAGAGGAATCACTACCTGATTTCTGGATTTACTGTAAAGCTCAATAATGATCACAATTTGGTACTGGTGTAAGGATAGATGTATTGATGAATGGAACAGATTATGGAGTTTAGAAAGGAACATGCACTTAATATGGTTAATTGATTTTAAAAAAAAAAGGTGCCCAAGTAATTCAGTTGGAAAAAGGCAATCTATTTAACAGATGGTGCAGGAAAAATCAGGAATCCATTTACCAAAAAGGTAATCTCAGCCCTTACCTCCTCACTCTGTATACAAAATTAACTTGAAATGTAGCATAGTCCTAAATGTAAAAGTTGAAGTATAAAACCTCTAAAAGAAAATGTCCAAAGGAATTATTGTGACCTTGGGCAGACTTCTCAGTACATAAAAAGCACAAATCTTTTTTTTAATGATAAATCAGGCTTTATCAAAATTTAAACCTTCTGTTATTTAGAAGACAATGTTAAGAAAATGAGAAGACAAGTCACAGATTGGCAAAACAGATCTGATACAGGGTGTTTGTGCAAAATATATAAAGAACTTTTGCAACTTAATAAAACAACTTAATTTTTTTAAAAAAATGACCAGAAGATTTGAACAGACACTTCCCCAAAGAAGATAAAAGAATGGCACACAAGCACATGAAAAGATGTTCAGCATAAACAGGGATATACAAATTAAATGCAGTAAGATACTACTACACATCCACTAGTATAGCTAAGACTGACAATATTAAGTGGTGACAAAGATGTAGATCAACTAGAAATCTTATACATTGCTGGTTGGAATGCAAAATGGTATAGCTATTTTGAAAAACAGTTTGACAATTGTCTGGAAAGTTAAGGGTATACTTTCTGTACAATGAAGCAATCCTTCTGCTAATTATTTACCCAAGAGGTATGAAAATTTGTCCACACCAGAGGCCTGAATGTGAATGTTGATAGCAGTTTTATTTATAATAGACATAAACTGGAAACAACCCCAAAGCTCATTAATTGGTAAATGAATAAACAAATGCTAATTGGTAAATGAATAAACAAATGCTGGTACATTCATACAGTGGAATACTACTCATCAGTAAAAAGGAACAACTTCTAACACCTGTAGCAGTAACAGTGGGTGAATTTCAGAAGTATTTTATGCTACATAAAGGAAGTCAGACACAAAAGGCTACACTCCTGCCTCAGCCTCCCAAGTAGTTGGGATTAAGGCATGCGCCACCACACCCAGCTAATTTTTGTATTTTTTTTTTTTTAGTAGAGGCGGGGTTTCACCATGTTGGCCAGGCTGGTCTTGAACTCCTGACTTCAGGTGATCCACCTGCCTTGGCCTCCCAAAGTGCTGGGATTACAGGCATGAGCCACCACGCCCAGCCAAAAAGTGAAAATTTTTTTACGTGATTAAAATGTTCTGTATTTTAATTGTGGTATTGGTGATTACATGATATAGATTTGTCAAAGGCTTGTTGCACTTTTCTCAAAAAGGGTACATTCTATGTAAATTATAAAATCTTGACTTAAAAACTTACAGGCTGAGGCAGGCGGATCACTTGAGGTCAGGAGTTCGAAACCAGTCTGGCTAACATGGTGAAACCCTATCTCTACTAAAAATACAAAAATTAGCTGGACGTGGTGGCAGATGCCTGTAATCCCAGCTACTCGGGAGGCTGAGGCAGGAAATCGCTTGAACTGGGGAGGCAGAGGTTGCAGTGAGCTGAGATTGGCTGCTGCACTCCAGCCTGGGCAACGGAGCGAGACTCTGTCTCAAAAAAAACAACAAAATTTACAAAAGGATTCGATAATAAATGATACATAAAGTCACTTTAACTTTGCACTAAATCTAGTTCATTTTAGAAGCATTTCCAACTTGGAACATAATGTTCTTTTTAATGTAGAATGATCACTAATGCTTCTGAAAATGAAAGATAACAATCCATATACATCTTTTATTTAACAAATATAAAAGTACTTCTGATATTGTCCCAAATAAATACCTGTATTCTGTGAGCAGGGGATGGATTTCAAGCAAATATGTACGTAAATAAGAATAAAGTTATGATTGTGTTAAGTGCAGCAGCTGAGAGGTTTTGTGTGCTATGAAGGTGTTTAAGTGAGAAAATAGCACTCTAAGTAAAGGGAACTGGACATTCAAAAAGACCCAGAGACAGGAATAAGCTTGAGTGAATTCTAAAAGTTGACATAAACAGTAGGTTTGTGGGTGGGTGGTCACAGCGAATAATGGGGCCAAGCCAGATCTTGCAGGGTCTTATAGATGGGATTTTTAAGATCTTTAACTGTCATTTGGACTTTGCTGCATAATAAACCATCCCAAAACTTATTGCCGTGAAGCAACAAACATTATTTCTCATTCTGTGAGTCTGCGGGGCAGTTCATTTGTTGGACTTGCTCACCTAGAGCTAGGTGGTATAGTTCACACGCATGGCCAACCGTTCATGCTGCCGTTATTTGTTATTCACAGGGTTACCAAAGTAGCAGGAAAGGGCAAGCCCCAGTCCACAAACATTTGTCAGGTCTTTGCTTGCATCACGTTCGCTGTTGTTCTTTTATCCAAAGCAGGTCATATGGCCTAAGCCCTGAGTCTGCGGGCCAGGAGTACCCATGGCTGTGTGCACTGGGAGGGGAATTATGATGACCATTTTTGCCATTAGCCACACTGAATAACCTGTTTATAATTTCAGAATACATTGTAAATTGTTTCATACTTTAAAGTACATTATGGCTGAGCATGGTGGCTCACACCTGTAATCCCAGCATTTTGGGAGGCCGAGGTGGGCAGATCACCTGAGGTCAGGAGTTCAAGACCAGCCTGGTTAACATGGCTAAACCCCATCTTTACTAAAAATACAAAAAAATTAGCTGGATATGGTGGCGGGTGCCTGTCATTCCAGCTACTTGGGAAGCTGAGGCAGGAGAATCACTTGAAACTAGAAGGTGAAGGTTGCAGTGAGCCAAGATCGGGCCACTGCACTCCAGCCTGGGCGATAGAGCGAGATTCCATCCAAAAAAAAAAAAAAAAGTACATTATAAGTTTTTAACTGGAGCTCGTTGGGTATACGATGCTTTTTGATGAGATGGACTATCCCTTTGCCAGTCTTAATGGGTTTATTTCATCAGGAGCTCAAACCTTTTACTTTTTTCTATCAAGGTTCAGCGAACTATTGCCAAACAGATTCAGATGGTCCGGCAAGTTGGTAAAGGCCGATACGGAGAAGTATGGATGGGTAAATGGCGTGGCGAAAAAGTGGCGGTGAAAGTATTCTTTACCACTGAAGAAGCCAGCTGGTTTCGAGAAACAGAAATCTACCAAACTGTGCTAATGCGCCATGAAAACATACTTGGTGGGTACACACTGATTCAGTCAATTTCATGTTTGACAAGGCTAGTGGGGGTGCAGGTGGAAGCCTCTATATATGCTTTGAAAACATGTGTGAGTTCAACTATATACACTTGTCTAAAGGAAACCCAGTAGAATATATGGTTTAAATATAACATAGTCTGGAATGCCAACCAAGCTGTTTCTTTACTAACCAGCTGAAGAAACAGCAGTGAGCTTCAAATGGAAAATAATACTAGTTTATTGGACTTACTCCCATAGTAATGAAAACCCAGTCTTTCATAGATAATTTAAGCAGTGATTTAGGGTAACATATGCCTTTTCCCTTTCATAAGCCCCACAGCCCAACATGCAGTTTCATTGTATGTTCTGTGTTTAATGTGTGTTTCCCCCCATCTCCACATTTACACAATAATAGCAAAGTAATTTAGGTATGAGCTGGTCAGTCAGGTGCATAAGGCGATCTGGCTATCCTGAGTTTTCTTTTCCCTTCACCTCCTGTTTTCCTCCGTTTAATTTGTAGAGTGCATAGCACATTGCCAAGCAGGCAATTGTATTAGTTTCCGAGGGCTGCTGTATCAATTACCACAAACTGGGTGGCTTCAACCTCCAAAATGTATTCACTCACAGTTTTCGAGGCTAGAAGTTTAAAACCAAGGTGTTGGCAGAGCTGTTGTGTCTCTGAAGACTCTAGGGGAGGAGCCTTCCTTGCCTCTTCTGGCTACCGGTGGTTGCCAGGAATTTTTGGTGTTCCTTGGCTTATTATAGACAACACTCTGGTCTCTGTTTCTGTCATCAAGTGGCCTTCTCTCTGGGTGTCTGGGTCCACATTTCCACCTTATAACATCACCAGTCATTGAATTCGGGCCCACTCTAATCCTGTATGAGTTATCTTAACTTGATTACATCTGCAAAGACCCTCTTTCCAAATAAGGTCATATTTATAGGTGACATGGATTTTAGACATGAATTTTGTGGGGGACCACTATTCAGCTTAGTACATAGCACTCACTGACCTTTTTCTGGAGGGAAGACGGTAGGAGAGAAAGGAAAAGAGCAGGACTGTGGACCTGGCAGTCAACGAACCAGACTGAAAAGGCAGCTGTGATGAGTCACTGATGGGCAAATGGGAGTTGGCTTAATTAGGAGCTAACTCTTAGTTGGACATTCTTAATTTTATTAAAGTGTCCACTTTTTGCTTTGAAATTGAGAGCCTTTTCCACTAGAGAATCATGTAGGTTGATAATATTCTCCAGGTTATTTGTATAATATGTGATCTTTTTCTTTTCTTTTTTTTTTTTTTTTTTTGTTTGTTTTTTTGAGACAGAGTCTCGTTCTGTCGCCCAGGCTGGAGTGCAGTGGTGCCATCTCAAGTCACTGCAACCTCTGCCTCCAGGTTCAAGTGATTCTCCTGCCTCAACATCCAGAGTAGCTGGGACTACAGGCACGTGCCACCATGCCCGGCTAATTTTTGTATTTTTAGTAGAGACAGGTTTTCGCCATGTTGGCCAGGCTGGTCTCTAGCTCCTGACCTTAAGTGATCCGCCCGCCTTGGCCTCCCAAAGTGCTAGGATTACAGGTGTGAGCCACTGCACCTGGCATATGTGATCTTTTTCTTAATCATATTCTCACTTTCATGATTATTAAGATTATAATAAATTTATTGTAGAAGTACAGTTATATGTGTAAATGTAGAAATAAAATTTTTAGTAACACATTCATGATTTGGTGTCAGGCAAATTAAAGTTTCACTATCTGCACAGGATACGGTTTTTCTCAATATCCAGAATGAGCATTACTTCTCCCTAGCCATCTCTGATAACGACTAACCTTTTAAACTCATCAACTGGACAGGTTTCATAGCGGCAGACATTAAAGGTACAGGTTCCTGGACTCAGCTCTATTTGATTACTGATTACCATGAAAATGGATCTCTCTATGACTTCCTGAAATGTGCTACACTGGACACCAGAGCCCTGCTCAAATTGGCTTATTCGGCTGCCTGTGGTCTGTGCCACCTGCACACAGAAATTTATGGCACCCAAGGAAAGCCCGCAATTGCTCATCGAGACCTAAAGAGCAAAAACATCCTCATCAAGAAAAATGGGAGTTGCTGTATTGCTGATCTGGGCCTTGCTGTTAAATTCAACAGGTTAGTGGTTCTTTGCCCCATTGTTTTGAAATTTTTTTAATCTCCAAAATATATTTCCCTATTTGTCTTCAAGATAATGGAATTCTAAAACTGTACACATGCTCGTTTTTAGTTACATAAATATATAGTTGGGGGGATTTTGTTCTTTTTACAAAAATTGTGTGCTACTCCTCCTATACATAATTCTTGATATATTTTTGGGGTTTTTTTTTTTTTTCTTTTGAGACAGTGTCTCACTCAGTTGCCCAGGCTGGAATACAGTAGTGTGATCATAGCTTACTGCAGCGTCGACCTCATGGCCTCAAGCAATCCTCCCACCTCAGCTTCCTGAGTAGCTAGGACTACAGGCGTGCACTGCCACACCCAGCTAATGTTTTTATTTTTGTAGAGATGGGGTCTCACTGTGTTGCCTAGGCTGATCTCAAACTCCTAAGCTCAAGTGAGCCTCCCAAAGTGCTGGGATAACAGGTGTGAGCCACCACGCCCAGCCGGATTTCCTTTGTTATAGTCTTAGCCATCCTTCCATTTCAGCTGATGTAAATCTACCTCATTCTTTTTTATAGATGCAGAGTTTTCTTTATCTGGAGGTACTGTAGTTTATTCTTAAGACCCAACTAATGAACATTAAAGGTGTCTTCAGTTGATTATTAAAAAGGTTTTAATGAACATTGTTGTATTTTATCCATATGTTATATATTGGATTCTTGGGCACTTGTACAAGCATTTCTTCATGATAGATTCCTAGAGAAGGGCCTGCTGAGGCAGTGAGTTTATACATATTAAACTATGGTATGTTGCATATTATTTCTTTTAGGAGTGTGCCTTAGTTTACATACCCATAAGCAGTAGAGATAAGGATGTCATTTTTCTATCACCACTTGATAGTGTCAGTATTTTAAAACAAATGCAAGTGTTAGAAATTACAAATTTTTAGAAAACCTTTGAAACCATTTTAATCTCGTAATTCTAGAATGGAGTGGCTGCGTTACATTTCAGAATTCATTTTAGGCTGTAACATAAAAGTTCCAGTCTTTAAAACAACTGTAAGGGACATTTAAATGTGTTGCAGTGTTGTGAGTCAGTGTAGTATTTGTTGGCTCAGATATATATCAGATGCTATAAGAAAATACAGTGCATATATTGATCACTACTTTAGAGTAATTATTACTAATTGTCAGTATGATCATGTAAACATTGCTAACAACAGAACTATGATGATTGGACCCATAAAGAAGAAAATGTAATCCTATGTTACAAAGCCTTAGTGTATCATATGAGAGTGGTAAAAGCAAACGATTCCTCTTCTATTTTCATATTCAACACTTCTCAGACATAATTATCTACTATTTTTTTTAAGACAGAGTCTCACTCTGTTGCCTAGGCTGGAGTGCAGTGGCGTGGTCTCGGCTCACTGCAGTCTCCACCTCCCAGGTTCAAGTAATTTTCGTGCTTCAGCCTCCCAAGTAGCTGGAATTATAGTCAAGTGCACACCACTGGTTAACTTTTGTTAACTTTTGTATTTTTAGTAGAGGCGGTGTTTCACCATGTCGGCCAGGCTGATCTCAAACACCTGACCTCAGGTGATCAGCCCTCCTTGGCCTCCCAAAGTGCTGAGATTACAGGCATGAGCAACTGTGCCTGGCCTTACTTTATCTTATATTCAGTGTTGTCCTCTTTCTTAGACACCAAACTTATTTAGTGACAAAACCTGACCTGAATGGATGTGAGGTATGTATTGCCCTTATCCAGTTGAGTAGGACTATCGGACTTAGTGTTTTGCTGCAGACACAGTACTGAGTACTGAGTTTGATTAAGAGTGCTGCCCCAACCCTACCGAGGATGTCATGTAGTATGTAGCATATATTTAAAGAAAAATCTGAAAAATGCTAAATTCCACAATACATCTGGCCCCAAGGTGGAAAAGAAGCTTTTATAAAATAGGACAAAAATGCAAGATAAACTATTTTATTCTTAGCCCTCAACTTGGACATTGGCTTTCTTTTGTTTCAGTGACACAAATGAAGTTGACGTGCCCTTGAATACCAGGGTGGGCACCAAACGCTACATGGCTCCAGAAGTGCTGGACGAAAGCCTAAACAAAAACCACTTCCAGCCCTACATCATGGCTGACATCTACAGCTTCGGCCTGATCATTTGGGAGATGGCTCGTCGTTGTATCACAGGAGGTAGGAGTTTGAGTAGTTTCTGATTATGTTTATTTACCCATCATTTTAAAAATAACGGCTCCAGTTATATAACTTTTTATTTTTTAATTTTTGTGGGCATATAGTAGGTGTATATATTTTTGGATAAGGAGCTATTTTAGTACAGGCATGCTGTGTGTGATAATCACATCTTGGAGAATTGGATATCTGTCCCTTCAGACATTTATCCTGTGTTTCACCAACCAATTATAGTCCTTGAGTTATTTTTAAGTGTACAGTTAAATTATTATTAACTGTAGTCCCTCCGTTGTGCTATCAAATACCAGGTCTTATTCATTTTTCTATTTTGTTTCTACTCATTAAACATCCCCCCGGCCCCCTGCTACCCTTCCCAACCTCTGGTAACCATCCTTCTGTTCTCTGTCTCCATGAGTTCAGTTGTTTTGATTTTTAGATCTCACAAGTAAGTGAGAACATGTGAAGTTTGTCTTTCTGTGCCTGGCTTATTTTACTTAATGACCTCCAGTTCCTCCATGTTATTTCAGAAGACAGAATCTCATTCTTTTTTCTGGCTGAATAATACTCCGTTGTGTATAGGTGCCACATTTTCTTGATCTGTTCATCTGTTGATGGTCACTTAGGTTGCTTCCACATCTTGGCTATTGTGAACGGTGCTGCAGCAAACATGCAGGTGCAGATATCTCTTTGGTTAGCTGATTTCCTTTCTTTTGGGTATACACCTAGGAGTGCAATTGCTGGCAGTTACGTATTTAGATGTCACATACGTCAGAGTCCCCAAGACTGCCCCCAGGTTATGCGATTTCACTTGAAGGACCACAGGACTCGGCATGTGGTTGTCCCAATGGCTAACATTTATCCCAGTGAAAGGATACAAATCAAAATCAGCCAAGTTTTAGCAAACCAGGTGAGGCTTCCCAGAGTCCTGTCCCAGTGGAGTCAGGGTGTGCTTCATTCCTCCTACGAGTTGTGACAACACATACAAAGTATTCTCGTGTGGGGAAGCTCCTGAGAGACTTGGCGCCCAGAGATTTTACTGGAGGCTGGTCACATAGGCATCCTCTGCCTGGCATGTAGCAGAATTCCAGCAGGAAAGCAGACGTGCAGTACACACCACATTGTTTGCACAAGCAGCCCAGGAGTGGTGAGTCACCCTCACCGTTTCTGGGAGGTTTGATATCCATGTAGGGAACTGTTTACCATTCATGTATCCAGGCACTGGCCAAGGCCAAACCTTGCAAGCCGCCTTTCCTAAGGGAAGGTCTCAGGCCTGCTTGTGTGAACCCTTATCTGCACCTCATAAGTCTTTCTACTGCAGAGCAAACTGAAAAAATAATAAATCTATTCATTAGTAGGAACAACCGTGTGAGTAAATAATTATACTTGAGGGTAAATGGCTGGTTTCGCCTTGCTTATTTTTTGTAAGGAAGATTGGTATGCCCTTTGTTGATGGACTCTGTCACAGTTGTGATGACATCCCTGGTGGAGGTAGAGGACGTAGTTGGACATAAATAAGAGAAAAACATACATCTGCTATTAAGAGTGAATCATCATGTCTGTATTTTTTCTTGTGTAAGAATCCGTTTTAGTTCCATAGTTTAGCAAAAGATGCTTAATAGGTTGGTATATTTTGTCCAGCAACTGTTTTTGTGCTCATGTTTTCTCCCTTACAGGGATCGTGGAAGAGTACCAATTGCCATATTACAACATGGTACCGAGTGATCCGTCATACGAAGATATGCGTGAGGTTGTGTGTGTCAAACGTTTGCGGCCACTTGTGTCTAATCGGTGGAACAGTGATGAAGTGAGTGGAACTCAGTCCCCTGAAGAAGTGATTGGTAAATGCCACGAAAGATATTCTCTGCTCACTAAACATCTCTTTACTTTTCAGTGTCTACGAGCAGTTTTGAAGCTAATGTCAGAATGCTGGGCCCACAATCCAGCCTCCAGACTCACAGCGTTGAGAATTAAGAAGACACTTGCCAAGATGGTTGAATCCCAAGATGTAAAAATCTGACGGTGTAACCATCGGAGGAGAAACTCTAGACTGCAAGACTGTTTTTACCCATGGCATGGGTGGAATTAGAGTGGAATAAGGATGTTAACTTGGTTCTCAGACTCTTTCTTCACTACGTGTTCACAGGCTGCTAATATTAAACGTTTCAGTACTCTTTTTAGAATACAAGCTGGGAACTTCTAAACACTTAATTCTTTATATATGGACAGCTTTATTTTAAATGTGGTTTTTGATGCCTTTTTTTAAATGGGTTTTTATGAACTGCATCAAGACTTCAATCCTGATTAGTGTCTCCAGTCAAGCTCTGGGTACTGAATTGCCTGTTCATAAAACGGTGCTTTCTGTGAAAGCCTTAAGAAGATAAATGAGTGCAGCAGAGATGGAGAAATAGACTTTGCCTTCTACCTGAGACATTCAGTTCGTTTGTATTCTACCTTTGTAAAACAGCCTACAAATGATGATGTGTTTGGGATACTGCTTAGTTTATGATAGTTTGTCCTGCCTTCCTTAATAATGTGTGTGTGTGTCCATGCACATGCACGCCAGGATTCCTCTGCTGCCATTTGAATTAGAAGAAAATAATTTATATGCATGCACAGGAAGATATTGGTGGCCGGTGGTTTTGTGCTTTAAAAATGCAATATCTGACCAAGATTCGCCAATCTCATATAAGCCATTTACCTTGCAAGTGAGATAGCTTCCCCACCAGCTTTATTTTTTAACATGAAAGCTGATACCAAGGCCAAAAGAAGTTTAAAGCATCTGTAAATTTGGACTGTTTTCCTTCTACCACCATTTTTTTTGTGGTTATTATTTTTGTCATGGAAAGCATCCTCTCCAAAGTTGGAACTTCTAATGCCATGAACCATGCTTACAAAGAAAGCACTTCTTATTGAAGTGAATTCCTGCATTTGATAGCAATGTAAGTGCCTGTAACCGTGTTCTGTATTCTTTATTCTCAGTAACTTTTAAAAGGGAAGTTATTTATATTTTGTGTATAATGTGCTTTATTTGCAAATCACCCACTCCTTTACAACCATACTTTATATATGTATATACATTCATACTGTAGAAACCAGCTCATGTGTACCTCACATCCTATCCTTAAGGGAAGAAATGTTATAAAGTAGAACTAAATATGAATTTTCAGAATTAATGCATTCAAAGTAATATATCAAATCCAGGACTTTGTTAACTTCAGGCAGAAACTTCATTAGGGTAATATCATCTCAATTTTTTCAAATGAAAGGATTCTTTAATTAGAAATTTATATGTCAGAGCTGTTATAAATTTATCAACTGTTAAATATGTTTTGGACATCTACATCATTTGAGATTTTTGGTTTTTTGATTTCTGTTCCCTAACTGGTGAAGACAATGAAAAATCAGGCAGAAATATTTAGTATCTAGTCAGTATCTGTAGCTACACTGTATAACTGTTCTTCAATAAAATGGTACATATTTTATAGATGCCTTGTTATCTCAAGAAATCTGATTTACATAAACTTATACTTCTTTAATGCCTTTGAAATATCAATCTCCTATTCTGAGCAAACAACTCATGAGTACATCAAGTGAGATAGTTTTATTTGATTATAACAAAATAAATGTGATTATGTCACAACATTGTCAAAAAGGTTTAAATTAAACAGGAGGAAATCAGCATATGTCCACCCATTATCAAAATGTGTATATCATTTAAGGTTAAAACTTACAAATTTGTCTACACATCAAATTTCACAAATTTGAAACTTGCCTTAACCATTTTGATTAATAAGTTTCATCTACCATAATTAAAGTCTGAAGTTTTCATCAAGATAAGTAAATTTGCATATGGATAATACCCAATAACTTGCTTTTTCAGAATTTTTCCCCATATGTATACTGAGAAATACAAATATTTTAATCTGAGTTGCCATATGATATGATCGCACTTAGAACACCCAATTTACTTAACCTTGGTTTACTTTTGACTTGATTCCATAAATCTTTAAAATCATTTGTCATGTTAATAAAATATGTAAAGACAGGCAAAGTTTATTCTTGGAAATGTTCAAATGGTATGTGGAAGCAAAAAATTACAGCCAGTATATGAGACCACTATTACGGTTTTTAAAAATTAACTTGGTCTAGTAAAAGTGGTATCAAGCGTTAATCTTAGAAACTTGTCCAGTAAAATCATTTTCTAGTATAACATATTCTTTAAAAAGCAAATGCTGCCATCTTTGGAATCGTAATCTAAAAATGTGGCCAGGCGCGGTGGCTCAGGCCTGTAATCCCAGCACTTTGGGAGGCTGAGATGGGCGGATCACAAGGTCAGGAGTTCAAGACCAGCCTGGCCAACTTGGTGAAACCCCATCTCTACTAAAAATACAAAACTCAGCCGGGCATGGTGGCGGGTGCCTGTAATCCTAGCTGCGTGGGAGGCTGAAGCAGGAGAATCGCTTGAAACCAGAAGGCAGAGGTTGCAGTGAGCCGAGATGGTGCCACTGCACTCCAACCTGGGCAAAAGAGTGTAAACTCCATCTCAAGCAAGCAAGTAAATAACAAAAAACAAAAATTTTGCATTCAACTTAGTTTTCGTCTCTCCTTTCCACTCTTACTCTTAAATCTGAAGCTCATCGAGTAAGTGAAATATTTAAAGAATATGATAGACCAGCAAGAAGAAGTATTATGTAGTACCACAGTTAGTAAATTTGTAAAACCTTGGAAGCTATTATTTGGTCCTACTTGCAATTTAATGTTTTTAAATGTGTAGCTTCATTTAGATATCTATAAGTAATTAAAATATAAAAGCAAGCAAAAAACCCAAACTACCTGACTATGAACAGGAAAAGTTAACCCTCAGAGAGAGTTATCCTTGTGAATTCTCTTTATGCTGGCAAATAGCTCTAGGATTAAAGGCACATTAGGGTTTCCTTCAGTTTGTTTATTCTAAGCTTTTACTGTGTTTCATATTGAACAAGTTTCTGATGTACAAAACTTGAATCCGATTTCTTTGGAAATATTTTCACAAAGTTATTTTAATCAATATTTTACATTGCCTTTCCAGTGTCCAGAAGTGTTTCTAAACTTTGAAAGTGACCTACAGTTTTTTAAAAGTATGTTTTCCTAGAATGTGCCAAATTTTGATTTACTCTAACAATCAATACTTTTCTTGAGATGCTTTGTTCTGTTTAGAACAAAAATGCACTATAGTTTTTAAAGAATCATGCATCTTTTGAGTTGGCCCAAGATCAAATTTGATATTGAATAATTTATTCCAAGGCAGCTTTCATAAACACACTTCATAGATGTTGTTTTGAAATGTTTCTAAGTATCTAAAATCGTTTCAATGGCAGAAATGATTTTTATTTTAACAAAAAGATTATGATGGCCCCCTAGTGTTTAAAAGTGGTCATATTTATTACTGACTTGAGTCAGGTGTTAAAATAGCAGTGCCACAGCTCGTCTCTTGCCTAAGTGCTGCTGTGAGAGTCACAGTGGAAACTGCAGGGAGGAGACGTGTTCCTAAGAACCAAAATCCAGGGCAGCATCCTGTGAAGCCACGTGTAATGATGGTCCCATAAGGAAAGTGTGGGAATATGGCTTTTGCAAAGGATTAACTATTGTAATTTTAGCTTATGCTCTGTATTCTGTTTTCTATGGAATTATTTAAGCCCTTTTAGTGACCTTTGTCCTGGCCCGTTTAAAAACTAAAATGTAGTATATATTGTATAAAACAAAAATATCATTATTGCTTCATTAGGGAAAACTGTACATAGGCATTGAAAAAAGGGTAAAAGCAAGCAGTTTTATCAGGCAATTGTAAAACACCAAAAATATAGATTTGTCTTTGATATGTAACACACTAAATGTATTTTGTACAGCATCTGGTTTAAAAGATGCCTTATTAAGTTTACCGTTACTTGCTTTGTTCTATATACAGATTATGTCCAATGTATCATTTTGAAGTAAATAACCTTATTTTAGTACACTTTAGTAATGTTTTTTGTGATGCTACACTCAGATGGTATTGTGCATCAGAAGTCATCTGTTGAGATTTTGTAACACATAAGTTAGTGTACATACATATGTTCCTGAGATGTGCACTTCAGCTACCAGAAACCCAGTATGGAGCACAGGTAGGTACACACTTGCCTTGTGGAGATAGAGAACTTCTAAACCTATCACAATGCAGGGGTTTTTCCTTTAAAAAACAAGACAAAACCTTGTTTTCTTTTTTTGCGACGGAGTTTTGCTCTTGTTGCCCAGGCTGGAGTGCGATGGCATGATCTCAGCTCACTGCAATGTTTGCCTCCCGGGTTCAAGCAATTCTCCTGCCTCAGCCTCCCAAGTAGCTGGAACTACAGATGTTTGCCACCACGCCTGGCTAATTTTTTTGTATTTTTAGTAGAGACAGGGTTTCACCATGTTGGCGAGGCTGGTCTCAAACTCCTGACCTCAGGTGGCCCACTTGCCTTGGCCTCCCAAAGTGCTGAGATTACAGGCATGAGCCACTGTGCCTGGCCAAAACATTATGTTCTGATTATGGAAATGTAGTCATGGCAGAAAATTTGGGAAACAGGCAAGAATAAAGCAAATTCACACAAAATTCTATTGCCAGACATTACCACTATGTACATTTGAGTGTTTCTTTTCAATCTTGTGTTTTTTTTTTTTTTTTTTTTTGAGACAGAGTCTTGCTCTGTCACCTAGGCTGGAGTGCAGTAGTGTGATCTCGGCTCAGTGCAACCTCTGCCTCCTGGGTTCAAGCGATTCTCCTGCCTCAGTCTCCCAAGTAGCCAGGATTACAGGTGCACACCACCAAGCCTGGCTAATTTTTGTATTTTAGTAGAGATGCGGTTTCACCATGTTGGCCAGGCTGGTCTCGAACTCCTGACCTCAAGTGATCTGCCTACCTCGGCCTCCCAAAGTGCCAGGATTACAGGAGTGAGCACCGCACCTGGCCTTACTCTTTTTTTATGTGGCATTTTTTTGTAATATTAGGATCCTAGTATGCCATTAAATAGCCATTGAGAACTTTTTTTAATGACTGCACAATATTCGACCAGGTAGATGGAGAAATTTCTGTGCTCAATCCCCTATTGAATATTTGGATTATTCTCGTTTTGAAAAATAGATACTGAACATCTTTATACATAAATCTTTATTTTCTTATATTACATTTCTGAAAATGGGACTAGTGAATGTGAACTTTTAAAAGATCCTTTGTTTAAGGTGGAAAAAGTCTAAGGTTCTTGGAAAACATTGCCATATTGCTGCTCACAAAGCTTTTCATTTTCATTCCTGCTAGCAGTTCATGAGCTTAGAGTGATGGGATGCATTTACCTGACCTTCAGATGCTCCTGCTGCAATGGGAATTGAATCCTTGGATGGCTTTCCTCCTGCTGTGCAATACTGTCTTGTCGTCTTCCCCCCTGCCCTGAGTCCCACTGCCAGTCAGGGCTGTTTTCAGGTGTATGTGAACTCATCCCAGCAGTATGCCTTCTGCTGCCTTTTCCTAGGGAACTGAACATGTTAAATCACAGACAAGATGTGGCACTGGTTAATGTTCCTCAAAAGAAATGCGTGTTTGGAGATAGCGTGTTACAGATTGCTCACGGGAGTCTCTGTTCGGTGTCGTTGTAAGATAGTTTCTCAGAATAATCGCGGGCGCTCTGATGCAGCCTGGTAAAGAAGACTTGGTGATTTCTGGGGCCTGCAAATGCTTGCTAGCTTTCCTTCTGTCTGTGGAAACACTGTATAAATGTATTCATTTCTCCTTTCCAGCAATCTGTTAGTCTCACTGCTCTACTCCAAGTTTCTTTAATATTATTAATAGAACAGACATTAAGAAACAGAATTGTCTAATCCTTGTTCTTCCAAAATAGGTTGAATCCTTGTAGAGAGTTTCAAGCAGACACTAAGTCAGTTACTAAGTCTTCACTTGGAGAAACATTTGTCTGCCGATAGCAACATATTGACCATTCTGAATGTCATCCTTATATTAAGTTAGGCGCATGCTCCTACACAGCCTTGGCTCAGCCCTTGGAGCATACAGTCTTGACTGGGTGGACATGATCCGCTGAAAGTGGCCAGCAGTGAGCAGAGGCCACCTACTGTCAGCAGCACTGCTGCAGGCATGGAGACTTAAATGTGTGAGTGCTGGTATAAGCAGAAGTGGGAGAGTCACCTTGATGCTGGGATCCAGATGGCAGCTTAGTTCAAGTGCAGTGGCACATACAAAAATTAATTTTTGGATGGGAGCAAGGACTAGGGCTGAAAGGTTCATTCATAATTTTTTTTTTTTTTTTTTTAAGATGGAGTTTCGCTCTGTCACCCAGGCTGGAGCGCAATGGGGGTGATCCCAGCTCGCTGCAACCTCTGCCTCCTGGATTCAAGCAATTCTCCAGCCTCAGCCACCTGAGAAGCTGGGATTACAGGCCTGCACCACCACACTCAGCTAATTTTATATTTTTAGTAGAGACGGGGTTTACCATGTTGGCCAGGCTGGTCTTGAACTCCCAACCTCAGGAGATCTGCCCACCTCGGCCTTCCAGAGTGCTGGGATTATAGGCATGAGCCACTGTGCCCAGCCCATAATCTCCTTTTGATACAGGAATTGTTAATTCACATTCTTTGATGGAATATGTGTGGCCTGCCTATTGCTCCTCTGAATCTTAGCAGCTTCTTGGTTTTTGTTCAAATGAAATCTAAGTCAATTCCCTATCTCTCAGTGTCCCTACATCCATCTCAGTGCTCATTTCCTAATTTTTTCTTCTTTAGAGACAGTCTCACACTGTCACCCAGGCTAGTGTGCAGCAGCTGTTCACAGGCACAATCATAATACACTGTAGCCTCAAACTCCTGATTTCAAGCTGTCCTCCCACCTCAGCCTCTTAGCTGGGACCATGCCACCATGCCTGGCTCACATTCTAAACACTATGCAGGAAGCTTGAAGTGTTAACATCTAAAAATCAATATGGAATGTTTATATTGAAAATATCTTCGGCCGGGTGCAGTGGCTCACTCCTCTAATCCCAGCACTTTGGGAGGCCGAGGCGGGCAGACCACCTGAGGTCAGGAGCAGCCTGGCCAACATATAGTGAAACCCTGTCTCTACTAAAAGGTACAAAAATTAGCTGGGTGTGGTGGTACACGCCTGTAATCCCAGCTCCTTGGGAAGCTGAGGCAGGAGAATTGCGTGAACCCAGGAAGCAGAGGTTACAGTGAGCTGAGATTGCACCACTGCATTCCAGCCTGGGCAACAGAGCAAGACTCCGTCTCTAAACAACAACAAAAAAATTATATATATATAATTATATATAAATATATAATATATATTATAAATATAAATTTATATTTATAAATATAAATATTTATAAATATTAAAATTTATAATTTATAAATATAAATTTATAAATATAATATATAATTATATAATAAATATATATGTAATTATATATATATATTCAAGCAACGTGAAGAAAAAATTGGGCCCCCTTGTTTTCCTTTAAGGGAGGAGCCACTTTTAAAAGCCAATTTAGAATCCGGATGATGACATCTGCTGCTCTACTGTATCACTGAAATGCAGGTCAGTGTTGAAAAACATAAAAAATTGGAAGTCTCCACCGAAAGACCTACACTGCTGTGGAAGAGATTTTAATCAGACATTTTAAAAGCAATTTTTATTACTTGATCCTGGGCAATACTTGGCTAGGAGTTCGGCTGGAGACAGAATCTAACTCTGAAGATGATACTCCATTATCTTCTAGCATCCCTTGTCGCCAGTGAGAAGTCTGATGTGGATCTAATAAGTGACATGTTATACAGGTTAACTTATTTTCAAGAAATATAATTTTCTTTTTATTCTTGATGTTGGAAGTTGAAACTGGCCATATCTAAATATATTCATTCTGTTGCTTAGTACTAATGGGGTATTTTCTTAGACCTGGGAAATTTTCTCCCGTTATTTCTTTTGTTTCTTCCCCTTTTTTCCTTTTTCTTTTTCTAGAACTTTCTAGGACAAATCTTAGGTCCCCTGGATGTTTCTTTCATAATTGTTACCATGCTTCTCATATGTTTCATCCTACCTTCTACTTTTGTCAGCCCATCTGTGTTTATTTCAACAGCCAAATGTTTTATTTTGAAATGATTCCAGGCTTCCATTGAAGTTTCATGAATAGTATAAGGACTGCCATTTACCCTTCACCCAGATTCATAAACTGCTAACATTGCACAATTGCTTTGTCATTCTGTGTGTGTGTACAGGAATCACAGAGACTCATCTTGTAATGTTTGTAATGTCCGTGTATCGTGTATGCACACATTTTTTTTTCTGACCTATTTGAAGTAAATTACAGAGCTAACAACCCTTTATCCCTAAATACTTCAGGGATGTTCTATTACTTAACCAATTATGTACAATTACGAGAACCAGGAAAGTTCACATTGATACAATAGCAATGACTAACAATACCATAATCTATAGACCTTACTGAAGTTTTGCTAATTGTTATTTGGGTGTGGTTGGGTTGTTTGTTTGAGATAGGGTCTCACTCTGTCACCCAGGCTGGGGTACAGTGGCACAGTCATAGCTCACTTCAACCTCAAACTTTGGGCCTCAAGTGATCCTCCTGCCTCAGCCTTCCAAAGGGCTATGATTACAGGCATGAGCCACCATGCCGGCCTCATTTCCCTTTTCCTTCTCAAAAGGATTCTGGCTTTCCCTGCTCCATTCATCTACCTCCACTACTCCCTCCAAGAGAGCTGAGTCATTGTCAAGCCAGGTTTGGGGAGCTTTCTTGATGGAGGGGATGGAAGGAGGGTGCTCAGGCTACAGCGGGGAGAGCTTTTCTGTTTTTGAGCTAAAGAGATAACAGAGGGTGCAGAGGCTGAGAAAAAGAGTTCTAAGAAACATGTCACGAGCTGTGTAGCCTCTTCACACTGCTTCTGAAATAAAATCTAACAGTAGTGACTTTGACATTGTGGT